CTTCAACCACACTGGATTATGGTCTGCAAAACTTGCAATTCCATCCATCCAGCCCTTCAGTTCCCAACACTAAAACTGCACTGGGTCTCACTTAGTCTATGGCATTATAACTCAGAGAAATAATGGGATCCACTCATACTAGAAGCACTTTTGTCAACAATTCAGAGGATTAAAAAAATATTACATATATATATATAAATTTTAATTCTAATAATTGATGTATCTAAATTTACTATTGGGAGGACAACATGACCAAATCAGAATGTTTCTTTACAAATATTCTACAGAACAGTTAGAATCCATTAAAAATAGATTAAGGATCAGGTTAAGTCTCACCTCTGTGCCTTACACATGGTCTAGCATCAAGATTGTTGCTCATAAGAATGAGAGGAAGGAGTTTTATTCTCAAATGTCATTAAAATAATTTATTATTTTGGTAAAGTGACAGGGAACTAAGTATCAAATTCTTCTAGGCACTATCAGGCTATTCTTTGTTAATCAATACTGCACATTTCTTACGAGTCTTATCATTGGAGTACATTGTTCCAGAAATTTTAGCAGCATATTGAGGCGTGAGTCTGCTTCCAGATAAGCCTGGCTGGCTTAATTTTTTGTCTTTTTCTTTTCAAGATAAGTGCTGTAGTGAAGGGGCCCAGCAAAACGACATTTTATTCCTGATATACCTATCAATTCTAGCTTTGCCATATCCTTGCAATTCAACATTCAGCTGCTCAGGCTGTGAGCAGTCTCCAGGAGGGACTGACTCTCTCTCTGTTCCTTTTTTTCTGTTCTTTCCTGTGCACACACGTGGTAACCTCACCAACACTTTCAGTTGCTGCTAACTCCCTACTATGATTTCACATCCAACACTCCAACTACAAGGTGTAATTTGAGCTCAGACAGCAATACTTTCAGAGCAGTGAGGGTTTGGTAGGTGTTCGAGACAAACACCTTCTAACACACGCCAAGGAATATGGATTTCATGTCCAGGAATATTCTGAAGCTAGTCAGCTGTGGATAAAATCCTGAAATTAATTTTCCCTGGGAAATTTTAACTCCTCAGGAAAAAAAATAGTTTTCTGTTCTTCACAAAAGTGAAGCTCAAACAACTTAAGCATTTTCAGATACTTCCACTGTAGATCACTGAGGATTTTAAATGCAAGCAGGCTTGTACTGTCTGTCAGGACTTTTTCTCCCCACTGAAGTCCATTTTTCCTCTGTCTGCTGTTAAGTTACTATTATCTTCCATTCTTTGAAATAATGGGCTTAAGATCAAGTGAAACTGGAAATGGAAAGAACAGTGAAAGATGACAGACTTGCAGGGGCTTTATTGGGACTATGGGTTGCTCCTGAGGTCAGAATCAGTAAGTATAATTAGATTCCTGGCATTTACAACAAATATAAAGCAACTCAGAGCTCCCTTTTGTGTGCCTGTAATTAAACATGCACTTTTACTGCCCTCTGCAGTGCTCCAAAGTATCTTTGATTCCAGCACATGAAAGTGGAATGAAAGAGCAGGCCCAAATCTTCATCTCTATATGGCACTCATATTTCTGAAAACAAAGTATTTCTCAGCAGAAATGGAACAGCCCCTTTCTAAAGAAACACAAAAGGGAACATTGTTTTTGCTAATAATTGGAGCCACTCCCGTACCTCCCAGAAACTTTCTCAATGCACTTGCACAGATAGAAAGGTCCCAACACAGACAGCTGGGCCCCACTTTAACCCACAAAACAAGTTCCAAATTTCCACTCAGAGTGAAGTTTTTTGAGTGTATGAATCAGCATTTTTTGGATAAATTAGTTTTCTCTTGTGCTTGAACACAATCCAAGAGGTAAGTGACAAGCTAAGAGTGAACAGGACTGGTAAGCAAAAAATACAGTGGGGGCCACCAGTGGCAGTTGCTGAATCTTTTTTCCTTGCATTTAAGTATTACCCAGATGCCACAAAACTAAACAGTGCACAACTGAAATAAATTCTGCTCAGCATTACCACTTTCTCTAACTAAAGTGTATACATTATATTCCAACTACACTGTTTTCCTTGAAAGTAGAATGGATTTTTGACACTTAACTTCAATCTCTTAACTATTTATATATTTTGGCAAATTTATCTCTAGTTGTCAGGAAGCACTCACACTTAGTGTTCAACAGCTAGCAACCAATCTTCTCACATTATGAGAAACCATATAGAAGAAAACACAGAAGAACAAGAACTTTTAGTAAGGTCAAAATTCTCATTAAAGGGGTCTTTTACTTCTTTGATAAAGAAGTGCTTGATCCCCCAGGTTTCCACACAGACCCATCCTTGGCTGATGTAGTTGCTCTTATTTACACTGGGAACACAGTAAAACAGAAAATCCTGAAAATAACTCCAGAAAATACTTGCATGAACAGAAAATTGTTTGAATGGTATTTGGGACTTTAAAATGGATTCACGGAAGAAAGCTGGTTTCAGCTTGAGTTCCTTGGAGCATTAAATTGTTATACTGGCAAGTCTTTTCCAAAATCTCTGTCCTGCCACTTCTAGTTTTTGAACTGGCTGTCCAGGTACTGAACAGAAAGGTAAATATGTTCCCTTATGGTTTATGTGACAACAGCTGAGTGATGAAGGAAGATCCAATTAATGCCCAAGTGAAGGACAAGCTGGGACAGCTCAGCTCTTTAATGCTCTGCTTGCCACCCTACCCACACCGTGTAGCAATGGCCCAGCCAAAACAGATGGAGCTTTAAATTAGCCACAGCCACGACTGTCAGCCAGGCATGGCATGAGGATGCTGATGGGGGACAGGGCTTGGTGTGAAGGGAGTAAGAGAAACACAAACCAGCAGGCACAGGTCTATAAAAAGCAGGGTTGACAGGTTCTGCTGCCTACAGAACAACCTGCTCTGTTTTATTTTTAGAGGAATTTAACCTAATAAGGCTAAAATTTGACAGCAGTACTTGCTTGCTCTCCATCTGAAGCAAACTTCACTACATGCAACTATGCACAACTAAACATATGGACATTGTTTTTCCATAAGATTCCTCTATTACCAGATACTGCCCTAAATAGATGGGGTTAGCCCACATTTAACCACTAGAGGGCTTAATTCTATTGCAAAAAACTGTTTTGTTTTTTTTTTTTTTCCAATTTGGTGTTCAGGAGTTTTGAAAAAACATCCAAACTGAGTGCTCTCTTTAAATTCCAACCATAAAAGCTAAGTGATCTAAGTAACTGAGACAAAGGGGAGTTGCTGTAGTGAAGACATTACTGTGGATGGCCAGCTCCTTCAGGAAAAAGTAACAAATCTGAGCCTGTTTCACAAACAGCTACTGAACACAGACCAGCTACACTTCTAGTCTGGATCACACCCACCTGGTTCCTGGGTGAGTGCACTGCACAGAACTGAAAGCTGAACAGCACTCAGATTGCTTTTAGTGAGATCAACAGAATTAAGATATCTGTAAGCAAGCTGGAGCACACCTCAGGAAAACAAGGGATAAACCAGCCAAAAAGCCCCAAAAATAGTGACATAGAATCTTACAGTGTGAAGCAGAAGTGACAGAGCACACTGAGAGGTGACAGAATAGAGCAGAGATGGGACAGTGAGCACAGTGAGAGGCAACACCCATCTCAGCAGGGCAGGGTCATGCACAGGAGGGCACAGGCAATGCAGGAGGGTCATATCCCAAGGCCTGTGCTGAGAATCTTGTCTGAGTAGTAACAGGTTAGTTGGATTAATCTCAAATTCTATACCACATTATGGACTAACCACTGAGGAGTTACTCTGCAGAAATTTAAAAGCACCTCAAGACACTTGCCAAAGGAGAATTATTTGTTGTGTGCTCCACTATGACAGAGAAGTGCATCCCAGTTGTGTGCCTGAACCCTGCCCAGGGATCAGTGTTCTTCACAGTTTTCCCCACATTCCAGCCCAGAGCTGGATGCAGTGCTCAAGGTGGGGCCTCACAGAGGGGCAGAGTCCCCTCCCTTGCCCCGGTGGCCATGCTGCTCTTGGTGCAGCCCAGGACACAGCTGGCTTTGTGAGCTGTGAGTGCACATGGCTGAGTCACTTAAAGTTTCTCATCCACCCACCAACATCCCCCAGTCCTTCCCCTCGGGGCTGCTCTCCATCTGTTCATCCCCCAGCCTGCATTTGTGCTGGAGAGATTGTCCCAACCCATGTGCTTCCTTATTTCAAAACCAGGTGTAAGTAACCTTACCCCTCAGAAGCCTCTAAACAATCTCCTGAATATCCCACTGATCCAACCTGTTTGGGTAGCTACAGTGGGATAGAAAAACTTCTTTTAAAGAACCCAGTTCTACTGGCAGTTCGACACTCAGCTACAGACTGACACACCAAAAATACTTGAGAACAACCAGCAACAGTATGGCCAGAAAATGTGACATGAGAAAAGCAATCTGGGAATTACAGAGGGTGTTCAGTCCAGGCAGAAAGCAACTACCATTTGTTGCCTTTTCTGGAAAAAATACATGTTAGGAAGGCTGTCTCCTTTACATCAGAGCTTAGCACCAACCTTATCCCAATGCCACTGCTTCCCCTTGGAAGTTTTCCCATCAGATCAAGTTACCTGATTTGAAAAGTGCCTAACAAATCAGACAGCTGTAACCAATACTACCAGTTAAGATACTCCCCTGAGTTGATGAGTTTAAGGGGTGTAACATCACCAGCCAGGAATTCCATTTTAAGAGCTAAAACCAGGTGAGGTGACTGTAAAAGATGTCCTGTAAGTGAAGAGTTGTTCACCCAGCTCTTCTAGCAGTTTCTCCTAGAGAACAGAACTTGGCAACCAGCTGATGGACATCTACTCAACAAAATTGTCTCAAACTCACTCTGGTGGTGATGTAAATAGATTTTAAGGTCTCCTCAAAGTCAGAGGATGGTGCTAACACAGATTTATCCTGGCTTAGTACCAATATCAGACACTTGGCTTTCAGCATTTCCCTGCGTTTCATTATGCACAGAGCACTGCTAGCAGGAAATGAAGAGTCAGATGTAAAAGTAAATGCAGTTCTGTTTATTTTCCAGCAACTTCCCACGCAAAAGCAATAGAACCACGAACTGCTCTCAGCAGAAAATCTGTACAGTTGGTAACATTTACAACAGTTTTACATTTAAAACCAGAAAACTGAAAGAATCAAGCACTTTCTCTAGACATTGTTTTCTTGACTGCATTAATAAATGACTGATGACTATTTACAAATTTCAAGTTAAAGCTACTACTTCTATAAAAAAAGCCAACATTATTGCATAGACTTTACCATGTTGACCTCCAACTTCTGGAGGGTATTAAACTTCCAATTGTTTCTGAAATATTTTTGCAAAAAAAAGTGGTTTTTTTTAAGGTAAGGTAGTTAAACTTACAGTAACTGCAGTAGATGGGCTTTACTAGTACTAATCAGCCACATGCACAGTACCACGTGCATTTCTTCAGGTTACAAGAGCCATATGTAAAAGCAAGGAAACATAAAAGAAAAATCCCTCAACTTGGCTCTTGATCTGCAGGTAGAGAACTGAAATCATGTTCACAGTGGGGGAAATTGGTAAGATCTTGCTGGTTTTAATTACTAGAGGACAGCACTGCCATTGGCTAGTTTTACTATTGAAAAGTTTTATAAAAAATCTGATATACATAAATTAAAAGTTAACAAGAAGTCATACAACTTAATTGCAATTTCATGTAAGTTTGGTCTGGAGAATACCTAGACCAATCACAGCTTTGAGAACAGTCTTCAACTTTGCTGCAGGTTTCTTACTATTAACAGGTTATGGATCAAGCTAACCTCTCAAGTTTAAAATAAATGTTCTCTAAAACAGGTTGCACAAGACTATTTAACTCACAGTATCAAATTCTTTCAGTGGCTCACTCAAACACACTTCCAAGTCAAATTCTCCTTCTGCTTGATACTCAACATGTCTAACTTTGGTGGGAGTGCCAGAACAGGTATCCTGGAAGGAAAAGGCAATTAATAATTACTAGTTAAGTAGAGGTTATTAGTACAGGTAATTCAATTAACTTCTGTAATTCATTTAGACCACCCTATAACAAAGGCTTACAAATGTCTTAAAGCCACAAAAACTCAATACTAGTCTTAATATTAAGAGATGTATGTTCTGCCCATCCAACCACAATTGAAGATACATTGCAAGTGTTCCAAGGACCTATACATGCAAACATTTAAACATTAAACAGATTTAATATTAGAAAAATAAATCCAGTAAGAAAAGCAATCCTAGATCTTTACTGCTCAGCTGTACCAAGTGCTTTCTGGACAAAAATTTCCTTCTCTGTGACAAGGAAATTCCACCCTATCTTAGTATTAGATATTGCAATCTAAAGTAGTATTTTAACTGTACATTACAGTTCATAACTGATTTGCTTTCAACAAATAAATTTTCTTTTGTAGGCTATGAAAAATGGGATGTTTTTAATTTGAGATGATAATTTAAGTTCCAATTCTCTAAACCCAAGACTACTATAGCTGGAAAATACCTGAGTTTCAAAATTGCTCAGCTTTACAAACAGTCCCTAAACAAAGCAGATGATGGGATCTGTGAGGTATTCAGGCTGCTCTGGATATATTTCTAAGCAATGAGCCAATTATCAGCAAATAGTTATGCAAATAACAGATATGCTTACATCATTTTCTTGACAGCTTGTTTGAGATTCAGTAGAATTGCTTCCAACAGATTCTGTCTCCATCTCACCAAGGTCAACAGGACAACTGTAAAATCATTTAGAAGAATACAGCATAAAATAAATTGATTTTTTAGTGTTAAGATGCATTTTTTTGTGCTGTTCTGAAAAAAAAAAAAAAAAAAGTCTCCATCTCACCAAGGTCAACAGGACAACTGTAAAATAATTTAGAAGAATATAGCATAAAATAAATTGATTTTTAGTGTTAAGATGTATTTTTTTTGTGCCGTTCTGGAAAAAAAAATGACCAGAGGAGAGCAAAGAGACCTACAGAGATCACAGGGACAGTGGTGGCAAACTGGGGAGAGCAAACAGAACTGCAGGACAGCTCAGTACTCCCAAAATGGCCAAGGACTGAATTAAGACTTGAGACTGAATACTGCAACTTGTCAAAGACAAACCCAGTGCTCAAGCAATGCTCAAAGCAGGTGTTGCAGGGGAGGAATGAAATTTTTCTGTTTTGCAAAGATTTAATATCCATTATACACAGCATCTGAGGGTAGTATTTCAACACCAATGCACACAGCAGGGATCTGGCTGAAGTACTAACTCCTCTCACACTGCCAGCAAGTAAAGGGAAGCTAAAAGGAAGCTTTTCTTTTAGATCCTATTGCTCTGCAGTAGTTTTAAAATCAGCATTCCATTAAGGAAAAACACTACAAGTTTTGTGTTTTATTAACACAAAACTGCCTGCTGAGGAATTAAGTTCCATCTCTGTCCCCTTCATTCTCTACTGCTAGTTTTGTGTCATATTGCTTTCTACAGAGGAAAATAACCAGGGCATCACTCTACATCTTCTGGAGCTTGGGCTGTGAACACTTGTGGCCATGCTTTGAGCTTGGGATGAGTTCACAATTCTCCTTCTCTGGAGAAGAAACATTTTGTACCTCTGTTCTTGACCTAGCAAGTGAGAAGAGTGAGGCAGGTTCCTGTACACTGGATTGGTCCCAGCTTAATATTCAGTCCTGCCATTAGTGAGAACTCTGCAGCACTGCTCCTACCAGATAATTTGAAGGCAGCTCTGAAAGAATTGGCTCTGCTTTCACCATTAAAAAAGTGAGGGATATGTGTGTATGCCCTTCCAAGGATACTAGGAAAGGACCAGGAAGCTATTGGATATTTTCATTGAGGAGGAACTGAACAGCACTAAGTGTGGATAAATAATTAGGAAAAACATTCAGCACTCACTGACTTGTCTCAAGAAGAACTATGCTGGGGGTGGTGCTTATTTCCTAAACAGGAGACTTCACATCATAATTTCTATAACAGCATTTTGAATACTCTGTTACATACATTTCCTGCAGATCACATCCTCCTTCAGTTGGAGGATCCCAGGAATGCAGTGCCACTTTCCACAGTTTGATCTGCTGGTCCCATGACCTACGGCTGTACTTCTTGAATTTGTTTGGAGTTCTGGGATGAACTCCTGGTATACGATGGCATCTATTCAGATATTAGACATGAACAATTATCAGTGCTTTATTCACATACATAACATAGCTTTAAATGTTAACTGATTGTATTATTTATGAGGAAAGACCAACGTGCAATTCCAGCACTCAGGCAAAGGTTTGCCAGCTCCATGTGAACTTCTTAGTTTTTCTGATAAGTCAAATGAAATAATAATAATAATAATAAAGAATTGTCATTCCTAGGTCTGAAAACTGAATTCCAAACTCAACAGCAGCTGTAGCCCATTTTGTCTTGTAGTTAACTCATGAGGAAACTGACTGCAAAAAGCAGTTTCATTTTCTCTCATTGACAAGCACATCCAAAGAACTTTCATTTCCATTTCAGCAGTATGAGGTATTTCATTAAAATAAAACCTTAAACCACACCTCAGTTGATTGTTAGTGTGATCTAACAGTTCAAAAATGTCTTAAAAGTTTAATTTGTAATACCTGCTATTAGAATGTGTATTGGATACCAAGTTTAGTACATTAACGTGCTTATAAAGAACAGGTATGACTTGCAGGTGGACATTTAGTTTTTTAGAAAGTCAAGCAGCTTACCTAGGAACTTCTTTAATGTATCTATCATATGCAATTGTGTTTTTTCCATAGTTTATCTGTTTTTGTCTTCTCATCAAAACCACCTCATCTGTTTCCAGTTCTACTGTCACCGTGGACTCCTTTGAATCAGAACTGAAGAAAAAAAACATTGCAGGTTTGGGACTACTAGAAAACCAGTGACATTCAAATAAACCCACTTGTGAAAGGCTATAAATGAACACGTTAAAACTTCAAACAAATGCTCGGGGTGTTACTAAACCATGGTGTTGGAACAGACAAAAGGCTATAAATGAACATGTTAAAACTTTTCAAACAAATGCTCGGGGTGTTACTAAACCATGGTGTTGGAACAGACTTGAGATGAACTATTTTAAACCGTGTGTTTTAAGAAACAACATTGTACAATGAAAATTCAATTTTCAAGATTTTCCTCAGCTAAGCTATAAATTTAACCTACCTTCCTGAGGAGGACTTCCTTTCTCTTGAAAATTCATTTATCAGGAGTTTTCTTCTGTGTCTGTAAGAATTCAAATCAGTTTTAAGAAATTATGTACACAAAGAATGAAGCCTGCACTGTCACAGCTGAATTAACTTTTCAGAAAAGCTGCAACACCCCAGACATTACAAAGACCTTTTTGCTATGAAATGGATGTTTCAGTTTTCCCTTAAAAAAAAATAAAAGTACAAGGACTTTCTTTTCCTGACTCTTTCCTAAAGCAACTTCTTAGAGCAATTATATGAAAAAACAGTAATTAGTGAGAGGGTATTTTAATCTAAGAGATTCAGGAAAACCTTCTTCCAAAAGGGAGATATTTAGGGATACACATCCAATCTCCAGAGAGTATCCCATGACATTCTTGCAGGACTTAACCCAAAGCTGATCTAAAAGCAGCAGAGGATGGCCTGATTTTACTACAATGGTGAAGTTAAAAATACAAATTGAAACAGATTCTACAAGACAACTTCCATTTCTCTTCCTTTTACCACTCCATCTTAAACACCCAGGGGTACCTTGCAATTTCTTTGTGAACATTGGTCCTCATTTCATCTTCTTCCACTGCAGTTCCCCAGTCTAAACACCTGGAAAGGGGTCCAGGACCTTCTGGTGTTGTAAAACTAGAAAGAAAAAAAAAGATTAAGGCTCTGTGTTAAAAGTTTGGGTTATTGTATTCAACTCCCCCACTCACAGCTTGATCCCTTAAACATAATTATTTACAATACTCAAAATGGCTGTGAAAACATGGTGTTTTATTAAAATTTTATCACTGTAAAATTAAGCATCAGTTGTGACTTCCACCTTGAGGTTGTGTGGTTTGTGTTGGGTTTTCTTAAAATTGATGCAGGTTGATCTATAGAACCACACCACTGTAGCTTGATAACCCAGCCCACGTTTTCAGTAACTTCCAGCTCGTGTTCTTCAGAAAATGGTACATGAAATGCCAACTTTATTCATTTACTCACTTCTTTTCACTCCACTAAATGACTTAGCAATGATTTATTCTTTGATGACTGCAGATTCATTAGCTATATAAGAGATAAAAGCTGGAGCACAGAATTAAGTGCAAGGCTAATTAATTAAAATCACAAGATAGCACCAGGAGTTGCTCCATGTAAATATATGGCCAGTAGAGAAGGCAAAGGCACAAAAATGTCCTATTTTAGCTGGATAGAGAGGTTTGCTCTGACTTTGCAAACTGGTTTAACAACTCTGCTGCAGCCCAGGCTCAGCAGGTTCAGACTCTTGTGGGGAATAACCCATACCCTTCCCAGCCATCTACTGCTGCCTGCATTCACATTATTCAGTGTTTCTCCTGTCTTCCTGATGACAAATTTTCCCTGAGTAAAACTCAAAACTGTATCCTACAGAGCAGAGCTTTTTCAGCAGATCTGGAAATGCTCTGGAGACTTTCCAGGATTCTGTGCAAACGTGTGCCCTGGAGTCAGGGAGTTAGATCCACCTGCACTAAAACCAATTCCAGCTCCCTCCCTGCTCCTAAACTGGTTTGCACAACTTTGAGTGGTTTGTTAAATTTAAACTAGAAGTTATTTTTAGATGAAACCCATTTACCAACTTGGTAAAATTAAAAATCCATAGCAAACAGTATAGATCCCTCTGCAAAGATCTGTTCAAGCTCTGAGGATTTTAAACTTTTGCTTATACCAATTTCTAGATTTGCAGAGAACACAATAACATTCTGTTATTGCTCTCCCGTGGTAGAGAACAAACAGCAGAATCCCCCCTGGTCCCAACTGCTGAGTTTTTTCCTCAACACTCTGATGTGATATCTTTTTATATTTGTTTGATTCTGTACCTGTGCTGTGATTATCAAGATGACCCAGCCTCCATCCTGATCCTCTTTACTTTTGAGAACTTTAATTCAACACAGTTGGATTGGCATAACCAAAAAGTAGTTTTGGCAGAGGAAGAGAACAATTTCAGAGCTCAATCCAAACTGAAACCAGGAAGTATGACTGCACAATTCAATACTGGGAGACACACAGAAGTGTTAAAATATTTAACTTATTTACATTGAAACTATCTGTTGTTTCATCCTTGTAACTGCTGTTCAACCATGCTTCCTGGAATTAGTTTAGGCTACTCTGGATGGAGTAACTTGTGCCACTGACCAACATGTTCCCTGCTTATTCAGCAAAGGAAAATGGTGGGCACAACCTACCCCATTTTCAAGAAACCTTGATTCAATCAAGTGGGCTGTGGGGACAACTCCCATCCACAGATGAAAGTGATTAAAGATAAAGAGGCCGTGGCATGAATAGCTCAGACTGAAAATGTGACATAAAATAAGATACTTAAGTCTAGCTGTGCTGGCAAACACAGAGGGCAGCATTATGGGGTGACCTCAAAACTGGATCCCCACACAAATGTGCTGAAATGTAAATCTGTAATAATAAATAATAAATAAAATATATCTGTACTCCCTTCAGAAACAGAAAATAGATTATTTCTAAGAACTGATTTTTTGTCATTTACTTCAATTTTACAACAATTGTTTGTACAGCTTGTGTATAAACATAATGGGCCTGTACAACATTAATCCTCGAAAAATGGCAGTAAACCAGCACGAAATAGGACATAAATTATCAAGGACATACTTCAAGAGGAAAGAATGAAAAATGCTGACTCTTAAGAACAGACTCCAAGATAAAAGCACTGCACTCGATCCTTTTCCCTCCTTAAGACCAGCTATTTGTGGCTGATGGGCGACTGATAAACAGGCAGGGCCAGGAGGGTCAGTGTAACAGCTCCCGGCGAACAAAAGAGCAGGAAGTCGCTGCCATTGTCACCACGCTCACCTGTCCAGCCGGCTGTCCTCAGGCCTGGGCTTGTTTTCCTCAAACACGGAGGGTTCGGGCTCGTTCTGCCTCCGCCGCTTCCCATCGGCGCCGCGCTTCCGCGCCTGGGCCCAGCGCGGGGCGTGCTGCGGGCTGGGGACAAACACAGCGACACAGGGACACCCGGTGGGCTTTAGGGCTTTAACCTCCTTCGGAGACCGCGCTTATTTACCATTTACTGCCGCCAAAGGCAGGGAGGCGACGCCCCTCCAGGCGGGCCCTCTGAGGGGGCTGTGCGGCCGCTCTGACGGGGCTGTGAGGGGGCTCTGCGGGCCCGCTCTCGGGGGGCTCTGAGGGCCCGCTCCGCGTCCCCCCCACCCCCTCAGAGACTCCGCCGCGGGACGGCGGGGAGCGAGGGCCGGGGATCACGCGGGCACTGACCGAGGCCCGGCGCCGCCACCCCCGCCTCAGCCCGGCGGCCCTACCTGCTCTTCGCGCTGCCGTGCGGGCTCCTCTGGCGGAAGGACATGGCGCGGGGTATCGGGAGGGAGGCCTGGAGGCAGAGGCGGGCGCGGGGAGCTGAGGAGGCCGGTGAAGGAGAGCCGGGCGCTGAGGGACTGGCAGGCGAGGCTGGCAGCGAGGCAGAGCCGAGGGAGCGCCGCCGCCTTCCCGCTCAGCCACTTCGCATCTCCCGCCGGCGCTGAGCGACGCGCCCGCCCCGCCTCCCCGCGGGGCGCCTCCACGGGACAGGTGCGGAGGGGGGGGGCGAGAGGCAAAGCGCTGCGGCGCCCCGCGCCCTCAGACGCTGACACACATCCCCCACCCCCCCGGCAGGGTAATGGCTCGGCCCGCTCCGCCGGCCCCGCCCCCGGGGCGTGTTGGCGGGAGAATCGAGCGCGGCGGCGCGCGGTTTTGGCGGGACTCAACAGGGGAACAACAGGGAAAAATCCAGCCCAAACAAAAAGAAAAATACGAATTCCCGCGATTTAAATGTGAAGGATGGCGGTCCCCGGCAAGGCTGTACAGTCGATGAAGCGCACAGGGTAATTGAAGTGGCAGTTCAAACCCCACTCCAGAGAGCCACTACATAAATTTCACAATTACGTGGCTTTAAATTCCCTATCAGTAGTGAGGAAGGTTGGGTAACGACACGAGGTGGTTACGCCTTGGTCCGTGGACCTTTCTGGGGTTTTTACTTACACATGCACAGAGATCCTGTTGGTCCTGCTGTTGGGCATACACTCATTTTAGAACAGTAATTTAGAAACAACCTGATGAGCTCCAGCAGAACACAAACAGCTTTAAACAATAATACATTTGCAGCGTGAAAACTGGTGGGACACTTCAGAGACATGGTTTTCTTCTGGCCTTACAATGGATTGCTAAGGTTGAAAAAGCTTACAAAATCAGGTTCATAAAGGTTGGAAGAGCCCTCTAAGATCATCAAGTACAACCATTGCTAATGAGGCACTGCTAAGTCCACTGCTAAACCATGTCCCCAAGTACCACATCTGGGAGAAGTAACAAAAAAAAATGTTTGGTGGGTTCTTCTAATCAGCTTAAAACACTAAAGCAACTATTGAAGTGCAGCAATAGTTTTGGAGAAACTTTCTGAGCACACAATAACAGAGGGTATTTGGTTTTGATTTTTTTTTTTTAAATAAAGATACACTTCAGCCTTGCTATGCATGAGGGGATTTACTTTGAAAATTCCATTCCTCTTGCCTGGCCTTACTACAGTAAATTTTGTACAAACACACATCTGTGTGGCATCTGCCTGAACATCCACATTCCTGCAGAAAAGTCTGCTCTGCTGGCACCCCTCCTTTCCCACACACTGCTATGGAAAACAGAACTGTGTTCTGGAACCAAGGTCGTGCTTGAAGTACAGCAGAGGTTCAGAACACTCACAAACAAACTCCCCTCCCTTCAGCCTGGCTCTGACAAAAGCTAGACCAGCATGTTCACCTGAACACACCCAGGCAAGGCAGACAGGGGACAGCTGCAGCCTGAAAGCCACACTGCACTTTGAGCACAGCACTATCTACAAATCAAATTCAGTTTATCCAGCAGAACTATCTGCTGGGACACAGCTCAGGGATTTCAGCTGCACTGCATCTTTCTGTCCTTGTCAGCAACAAAAATCCTTCAGAAAAGCAGATTCACACCACGGTGGGAATTTAAGGGGAGGAGATATCCTCAGCTGTGACCTCAAAGGAGTTTTAGAAACAAAATAAAGTACACACAAGCCCTGGCATTTCAGAACTGGCTGTCAAGGATGGTTTCCACAAACACAGATAATGTATCATCTATAAGGAGATTCTCCCAGTGGAAGCATGCCAAGAGAAGATACTTGTCACTTCTAGGAAGAAACTGAAACTTGTCTGCTGAAGTTCAGGGTATATTTTGGTTTAATTATAAACTGAGCACAGATTTATGCAGAGGAGATTTAATTAAGTCGGGTAAAATTAAAGGAAAAACTGGGGGTGGAGTGCCAGACTTCTGCTTCACTTACCTCACTTGCAAGCTCTGTGTCAGACAGCCTTGGGTAGGTAAACAAGTGCATGGAGGCTGCATTCCAGTTTTGACTGCTCTATTTAGACTAATGAGGGTACTAATTAAAAAACACAGGATGATTCTACATCCACTGGCAGCACTGCATGAAATGACTTTAGCAGACCTCAAACTTCATCTGCTGTTTCATTCCTTCCCTGGTGCTACCACAGCTTGTTCAAGCACACAGAATCTGGATTAGGGAATCAATCTGCCCAAAATTTAACTGCCACAGGCAGACTGGTTATGCTATGTCTAGTCTAATACCCTCAACCAAGAAACACAAAGACCTTTTATGGACTGCTGAATTGCAAAATCCTATAGATGTGCCCTTAAATCCACTGCAGGCCCTGTTCATCACAGGCAAAAGCTTAAGGGCACTTAATAGTCATAAAATACTTCAGATGAGTTTAAGTATTTCTCAGCAGCCCATTACTCTCACCTAGCAGTTCCTTCTTCTCCAGCAGGACCCCTTTCCATGGCAGAATGGGTGCTGGGATTCAGCTGCTCCCTCCCACTAAGTTACAATGCCTTAAAACTGAGGGGCTGGACAAAACCAGAATTGTGAACTGCCTTCAAGAGTCTAATTTTAATCTCTGAAGACTCCTCTATTCCCCTTTTAGCAAGGACTAAAAATCCAAAATCACCACTCAAAGCAAGCAAACACCCTAAAACAAACAAGAAAGGACTACTGAACCCACATGTTCCTTTTATAATCAAACTGACAACACAACTGCAAAAGCAGACTAAAAAGGATTTTTAAAGTTCAAGTCTTTAATTCTTCTGCATAAAGGCAAATTGCCAAAAATGTAACACATTCCCTTATTTACAAGCATCATAAATCACAAGGAAACATGCACACTGGAACAACAAGGTCCTAAATATTACCTCTTAGAAAAGTGCTGTACAGATGTGTCCCTTGTACACACATGATCTGTGCTCTGTGATGTGTGACTGATAAATCCTTGTGTTGGGAAAAAGGCCTGAGCATGCCTGGAAACAACATTTTGGGAGTGAGAGTAGTTTCTGAGGAAGCAGCTTACTTCAAAATCAGCAGCACAATGGGCTCTGGGCCCTGGCTACTGCCAGCCCCATAGCAAGGGAAAGCAAAACCAAACTCCTGCAGAGACAACTCCCAGCTCTAGCAGCCACTGATATCCCAGTACATGCTACACAAGGACTGTAAAATTCTTGTAACTGGCACGTGAATTTAGTCCAAACCACTGTAGCCACAGCTCTCACTTCAAACTTCTGCACACAGTGCTAGCAGAATGCAAGAAGGAGAGCCTATCCCAACACCATCACAACCCTTAGCCTGGACAAGAGCAGCTCCACACCTGCAAATACTGCTATTTATCCCCAGTAGTTGTAGGAAGAACAGGCACTCAATGTATCCTCTCCTACGCTTTAACTGCAGACTGGCTCTTTGGGTCAGGCTGCAACACACATAAAGCAAAATCCAGGTATTTAAGCTGTGCTGCTGTTCTAACAGTCACTCAACCCTTCAAGAACAGGATCTGATTTTGATAAACCACACACCTTTCCTTTCTCTTCTCTCACCTGTCTTAGGCAAATGCCACCTTAATACATCTCAGAGAACAATAAATAGGCCAGATGGGTGATCACCCAATCCAGAAGTTATGAACAGCTTGTCTTTACTGGCTGAAGTAAAGGAAGGCTGAAATTATCTACATTCTTTTGAAGCAGTTCTTCAGGCTGGATGCCCAGTTCTGGTCCAGTGGAGCAGAGGAGGTTCCTTGGTTGGAGGAGTTGCATTTGCAGTCTGACTTGACACTGGACCAATCCACTGGTGAAACATCAGCACACCCTGAGGAACAAGACCTCCAGAGGGAATGGCAGGATCCATCACCTGAAGCAGCCTTTGGAATATAATGCACATGTCACCTGCCAAGAGGCACAGCAGGAATGTCCTCACAAAAGCTTTAAGGAACATCCACAGTCACTGCAGCACAGGCTTCACAAAATCTGGAGTTTTACACTTGAGGCACAGCTTGCAGAAAACAATCTACCCTTATAAAGATCTGGAGAAACCTAAACAAAAAAGCAGGTAACAGCATTTTATAAACATGATATATCCAGGCATTAACAACAAAACATTCTCCTCTTTTCCTCTCTTAAGCTGCAGTGTTACAGTAGCAGTAAATGGAAGAGAGCACTGCATATGGTGAGCTTATAGCACAGTATAAAGGAAAAACCCATACTGCCCATACTAACCAAGTGTTACAGCTAGTATGAACATTCTGAGAACATAAATTACTGAAAAAATACAGTACTAGATTCTCTACATTCCTGAAGTATTTGACACAGAGAAAAGGAAGCAGCTGAGCCTATTCTTCCCAACCCCCTGCAGAGTTTTCATCTAAATGTCATTATTAATTCATAAAACAGACTTTTATCTCAATTTTAATCAACAAATTTCTGACATATCTTAAGTGTCCTATGGACTAAGGTTTTTCCCTAGAAATCAACCAGATACATTCACATTTAGTCCTGTTCAAGACAGAAATTTTCTTTTAGCAAAAGGGAAGACAGTGTGGAATTCTACCATGTAAGCCACTATGTGGTTTTCAAGCAAGATTAAACTTCCACAGATAAAGTTCCTGACACTTGAGAGTTAGAGCTCATCACATCTAAAAGCTAAGGTTAAAGGCAATGTTGCTGTAAATACTGGTCTTTCCATCCCAGAAAACCAATGTGTTGCTCCACAGAGAAGGCATTCACTTCATACATTCTACATCTAACAGAGCCCTTTTTTCAATTACAACAAGTGATTACAAAGCCACTGAATATATAAACTCCTTAATACAGCCTTATTTACAGCACAGACCACTGCAAAAAAAGCTAAATATCAACTATGTGGAAACCAGACAGGCTCATAACTGTGATGTAGAGATGCTTCTTTTACCTGAATAATTTCACCTCATGTTGATTGCACACATGCTGACTGTAAATCTCTTCCTCTTTCAGTGCAGATCCTGCATGACAGCACCAGTTTTCCAAGACTTGATCTGCTGATCTCAGACTACATCCCTATTCTTCAAGTCTTTTTCTGTCACAGGAGAAATTCCTTCTTCAATACTTCTATATACAAAGAGAGACTAGATATTTTCAAATATTGAATTAGCACTTTTTTAAAAAGTGAAAGCATGTTAAATCTTATTCATGTTCAAAAAATTTAAATTAAAAATCAATAGAGTCAAAAGAAAAATGTCATCAGCATAATTTTTTAAAAGCTCTATCTGCCTTTTCCTCACATTGCTATAATCCAAAATCTAAGTGTAAAACTAATTTTGGCCATGTTCTTAATAAGTTTTATAAGGCAAAATTTTCAAAGACCATTGATTAACAGACATTTATATCCTACTCCATGTTTCAGAGCCTGAATCAAATGTAGATCAAAGACAATCTAATTACACAAAAGACTAACTGCTAATAAAATCTTTTTGACCCAGATTACCACCCATCCTATCAATGCACCACAGGAATCTACAGTCCAAGAGAAAATTTGCACTAAAATCTACTGCTGTAAATGCCAAGTTGTTATTTCATCACAAAAACATTAAGAGACAGAAAAGCTGCTATTGAAATACTTAAAAAAAATGGCACGTTTCATTTGAGAGATAAAAACACTTTCTGGCTGAAAGGTAACACTTTCAACTTAGCAAGTCTTAAGCACTAGGTCTTTCAATTAAGGTGCTGTATTAAGTGCAAGAGACTAGGATAAAACACAAACAAAATAAAAGAAAAAATGATCTGCCTGAACTGAACAGTTGCTCTCTGCAGAATGATACTGTGGATGGGCGACTGAAACAGAACAAATCAAGTAAGTAGTCAGCACAAACTCACCTTGGTATTTAGATTTTTTTCCTCAGTATTGCATCTTCAGCATTTGCACTTTGCCATCCTCTGTCAGGGAATTCTGACTGATGTCCATCCAGTAAACTGCTACGAAGTTTAAGCCTAGAAATAAAAAAGCCAAAAACCAAAGACTAAGTGGCTTTATTGTGCTAACTTTTAAATACTAAATACAGCTACAATCCATTTACATTAAAAATTACTATAACATGAAAACATGAAGACAGAATTTTACCACACAACATAAAAAAATTAATCAACACATCCCTAAGACAAATAGTAAAATATAGCTAAATAAAAATTAAAAATAGAATGTTTATAATAAATGCTTGGCTTGAATTACAGCAATAAAGCAACTACACTACTAAAACAATATGCAAAAATACCCCTCAAACCCAAGCTGATGAGCTGCATTTGATACCTCTCCAGGTTGAAGTCTGCATCTCTGCAAGAATTGCTATCAGGCAGAAAGAAGCTGGATTTCCTCTGTTTTGGATTGTTCCATGCTGAAGAACAACTGGCTGGAATCGAGTCACTGCATAAAAACAAACAACACTCAAGGTGTCACTACAAAACAAATTAAATCTCTAGGGAGACAGAGAGGAAACTTCCAGCTCTTAGGCTGAGAAGTGAGAGGCAAGATTCCAATTCTTTCCACAAGACAGAGTTTGAAAGGGGCTCCTCATTTTCCAGCATTACCTGAGATGGCAGAGGCAGCAGAAAGCAACAGATGGAGACTCAGACTGGAAAAAGTCAAGTAAACTCCAAGAACAGAAATAACAACCAAACATACCATGTGCTGGAGGAAATGCAAGAAGGCAAAAAAAAAAAAAGAAAAAAAAAAAAGTTGTAGTAACCAGTGAAGGAAAAGATGAAAAAGAAAAGGAAAGGACATCTTTACAGCATAAACAACACACAGAAACAACAACAAGTAATCACTGGGGTATTTACCTTATTTCTATACTTGGTTGTACTGTCATTACTTCATCTTTTTCACCAAAGGCTTCCCACTTGGAGCACTTTGAAAAAGCATCCTCATGTCCTGAGTCAGTAAGGCTGGAAAGAAAATGAAAATGTCTGAATCCATGCACTGTGGTAACACAGTTCCTCTTAATTTTTTAGAAGGAGGTTAAGCAGAGAAAAGAAACCACACCTGTATGAACATTTTTACTAAGGTTAGTGTGAAATGTCTACTAAACTGCCAAAAGCCTCAGTGTTGCCTAAAACTACACCCAAAATAGAACCTGTGCTCTGTCTTCGGACACACTGCAATGGAGCACTGTAAACATTTGCTATCATACAGCACAATTATTCTGACATGATCTCCCTTTCTCATTAAACTGCACACATTTAGATACAATTAAAGCTAATAATAAAGGGAAGGGAAAATACCAGTCAAAATCCTAAAGTCACTTCATAGTAACATGAATTCCCCCATGGAGACTCATTTCATACCTTTCCAGTGTGTGGTACATCTGCAGATAATGATTTTTGCTCTCTGAAACCACAGAGGAGTCAGAATTGTTTCTTCTTCTGCGTTTCCAGACTGGAGAAGAATTGGGAGAACAGGAACTACAAAAACAGATTTTACACACGTAACATTTTTGATCTATGTTTAAATGTTGATCACTCTTCTGCTAAAGAACTGCATATGCTGCTGAGGAAATTTTCTTTTGGGGTATGATTCCTCAGGCACACAGAAGAACACTGAGAAAAATCTCTCACATTTTGGAAGCAAAACCATTTTGAGCTTCACACACATCCCCCCAGGACAAGGCATTTCAGTAAACAGGGAAGTGCATGTCACAGTCAGCCTCCCTGCTGAGCTGCAGACAGGCACAATAATGTGAAGGATGAGGACTCCTGCTCCTGAAAAAGCTCCCCTACTTTCAGAACACTGCAGCAATGGTTAAAGAAACCTCAGAACTCTACACTATAAACTGAGAAGCTGAAAAAACACTGCATTTCCTTCTGTTCAAGCATGTAATTCAGCAATACTGGTAATTTCTCCATATTTAGTGCTCTGTAGCACCGATGGATTACATTCAACAGCAGAAGTGTCAAACTCCAAAGCTGAGTATTAACTGCCCTTCCACACTAAACATTTCCCTCAAAAGCCTGACAGCACTGACCTGTACTGAATTATTTCCCTAAGCACAGAAGTTTGCTCTCATACCTCTCAGGTGTGCAGGCAGTCTGTCTGCATTCATCTTCACACTCATTTCTCTTCTGTTTTTCCTCAAACACAAAGGAGCCAGGAACATCCTCATCTTTCCATTCCTGGGAACTACATGAAGGTTCTGTACTACTAAACACAGCAGGGGAAAAAAAACTTTATAAATCTATCCATCTGGCTTACTGCTCCAAAGAGAAAAAAGTTCAGCTGCAGTAAGAATTAGCCGTTCATCTGACACCCAAATGGTATAAACACTGCAACTTCTACCACTGTCAATTACAACTCAGGTAAAACTATTTACACCGTGCAGTAACACAGCTAAGAGAATTCCATTCACTCTTCTCCTCTTACTAGTCCAAATCTTGTAAAGTACGAGGTGGCATTAAGTAGCAGAACCAGCCTTAATACAGAAATTCAAACTTTTGAAAAGATAAAAATATTTCCTTCTTGAACATTGTTGCCACCATCTTGCAGAGAGCACAGAAAACTCTCTCATCTTCTTAAACACCTCAAATCCCCTCACATATTGTCAGTGTTTGAGACATGTGGTTCCAATGACTTCAGGAAAAGGAAACATGAAAAGTTATCAAAGACAAGGAACAGTAATCAACAAATTCCTACTTGTGTCTCTCGCTTACCAGAAAAGTAACACTACCTTGTTACCTTGTACACACTTACCAGTGTAAATACAAAGGGGAAGGGAATGTGCTACTGCAGGCAGATCAAATGCCTTTCTCCCCATAACACCTGACTGCAGATTGACTTAGACTTAATAACTGCAATATCTTGAAGACTTAACAGAATTCTAATGGAAAAGCATTCAAGTAGACTCCCATTGTTGAGTCTGATCTTTTTTTCTCCCAGGCAGGAATGCTCTATAGGAACTATGGAGACCTCCTTAAATTCCTTGAGCCCTGACTTGATTCACCCACAGGACATACACGGGCTGTAGATCCCAGGTTTCCTCAGCAGGAGGATCCCAGGCATGCAGTGCAATCTTCCACAGCTTGATCTGCCGGTCCCAGGACCTGCGGCTGTACTTCTTGAACTTGTTGGGAGTTGTGGGGTGAACTCCTGGAAGTCGCTGGTTCCTGCAAATACACAGGGACATTGGTTATTTCAGAAGATAAGGAGGTTTTTCCTTAATAAGGATCCTTAGTCCATCAGGTCATAAAAGCTTCAGTGGTCTAATAAATAAAATGTTTGTATTTTTAAACACTTACTGAAATGTGTACATTACAAGACATTACCAAACATAAATCACAAAAGCAACAATCACCATAATGTGCTGAGTCAGATGGAGGCTCATCTGGTCAGTTCAGCATTCTGACAGCTGCCAAAAGCAGAGCCCTACTGCCCATGAACAAAGATGAAACAGAAGCATAACTGCTTCAATATTATCCTAACTGCCAGCTCCTTCTACTTTACTTTTCTTGAGTCAAGTGCAGCTCCTTTTATTTACTATTGTACTCACCCTGTCGAGGATGGAGTTACCACCCTCCCCAGCAGTCCCTGTAGTGCTGTGCTTTGCATTAATTGCTAAAACAATGCTGATACAAACACACTGATTTTTGGACATTACTGAACAGTGCTTGCCCAGCTCAAGGCCTTCTCCTTTCTCACCCCACAGACACTAAGGTGAGAGTGAACACTAAGGTGAGAGGGAGAAGTGCTGGGACAGCTGACTCAAATTCCCCAGAGATATCACACACCTTATAATGTCACACTAAGCAGTAAAAACCACAGGGAGAATTTCAAGGGAACTAAGGCTCTGTGCTATTCTACACACACACACACACAGACACCCACCAGGAACAAGTAAGAGTTCATCTGGAAATCTGCAACACAGGGTAACTTACTTTGGAACTTCTTTAATGTATCTGTCATATGCCAGGGTATTCTTGCCAAAATTGATCTGTTTTTGTCTCCTCCTCAGGACCACCTCATCAGTTTCCCTTTCAGCTGGATTGCTAGAGTTGCTTGAAACAGAATTTGAAAATGAAAATAAATATGAAGTTGAAAAGAACCTTATGGCATTATAGGAAGTTACATAAGCACATATTCCAGAACTGCCCTGTATTCTTAATGACAGACTGTGAGCACAACTCTCACCTCACCAGTTCAGAGAAGTGAAAGCTGTGCTAATCAAATCTGAATCTCAAATAATCACACAAGCAGCTTTTGAGCTAAAACCTCTCAGTGTTACTCCCTCCCCGAGGCATCCTTCAGGCTTGATATGAAACAGCCTGTCTGCAGTTTCAAATCCTCATTAATGCATGTGAAATAGGCAGAGATCATCAGAAGGTTGGTGCTAAAACCAAAAGCAACAATAAGCAGTAATAGTTCAATACCTACTTTGACATTTTTTTGTTTGATGCCCTCATTGTGTTGCCTTCTTCAGTTCTACCTTCCCAGCTGTGGCAACCGGAAAGTGGCCTAGAATGTTCTGATGTTGTAGAGCTGAAAAATAATGGGAATTCAACATGAATGTTTGCTGCTTGTAACACATTTAATCAACAGAAACATCAATGATGGACAAAACCAACTCCACAACTGTAAACCCATGGGCATGCTCCTTCTCTAGTTCAGTTCTAAGGCACCTTCAGCTTGTCCTCTTCTCCTAATTTTAAGGCCTCAACATTTAACAAGTCATGTAAGTTATACAGAAGCAGATTTAGCAGACAGTCATACTTTCCCTAAATGGTTTCACATCAACAGATGAAATTACCAGGCAAGCTGACAATGTCATTTTAACACAGGACAAAGACTCCACACTGAAAAGGAACAGATCCACTCAGCAAAAGAGAAACACAAAACACTGCTGGCACATCCACTTAAGTCTCACACTCATGCCTTACCCTCCATTTTAACCACATCAAAGACACAGAAAACACTCCTGAGTACAAGGCCCTTTCCTAAGCTCTTCAAGACATTCATTCCTTAACAAAGCAATATTAAACATGTCATCAAGAATTAAAATCACCTTCATACAGTGAAATACTCAGAAATGTATGAATAACGTACAAAAATGTTTTCATGTACCCTTAGTAAAACATTTCCTCTTACATTCTGTTCAGTTTTCTGCACACATCTCAGCACTCACCACTTTTCACCCTTGCTATCAGACTGTAAGTCTCAACCAGTCTCAACCACTTCCTCCAACTTGGGTCTTTAGTCTGGAATATCCAAAAGCCAAGCAAAATATTCACAGCATTATCTAAGTATAGAGGTCTATCTCGTCTCAAATTGTCCTCAGGAATGGACTACAGGAAAAAAGGTGCTCACTAAAAACTGCAGTACAGCTGAATATACCAAGTGGCAAGTGAAGAGACAAACATGGTCTGTCCACATTTACACGTAAAGATGTATAAGCAAAATATAAGAACAAGAGCAAATGGCTTCATTGGGACTTTAATATTAAAGACTTCAGCAACAAAGGGCTTAAACTACTGCTTCAGTCCACAGCCCTTCTCCCTTTCATTCTGAACACTTGCTAATACTGCTGTGGCACGTATTTCCATGAGGCACACTGGATGGTCTTCTCTAGGCATGATGCAGCTGTCACCTCCTAACCCTGTGCTACTCTGTTAGAAGAAAACACTCAACCTAAACATGTCCAAGCTTTTCTTGGAGTCCTAAAGAAGAGTGCAGCAAAGTGGACATTTAAAGCAAATTTACACGTATTGCTTACCTGTCCAGCCAGTGGTGTGAATGGCCACATCGATATTCCTCAAGCACCAGAGAATCAGAATCATTGCAGCTTCCCTGTTCCTGCTCTTGATGCCAGCAGTGTGGATGTTGCACAGAACTAGAAAACAAAGAGTTTTCATCTGAAATCAAGTCTCTGGTAGTCACTCAACATGGCCTATAAAAATCAAAGATGGACAATTTGATTTGGCATACAGACATGTGACTCATATCAACTTACTCCGGCAACACATACTGAACAAAGGTGTTAGTGCAATTGTTGAGAAAATACCTTTGTACTTAACAGAGGTGTCAGTGCAATTGTTGCAGAAGTATCTTTGACCAATGCAACTAAGACATCAAAATTTTCAAACAAACACTTAATATTTTGAGAACAAAAATTATACTCTTTTTGTAAACAAACTGGTGGGGAAGGAAAACCTAAGCGAGGACTTCCACCAGTGTTTATGGATTTGTGGACATGTCCATCCTCTGTCAGCAGTGCATTATTTGACATTTATTTACTGCCCCATCCAGGAGTAAACTCACAGAAAAGACAAGTCCAGAAACTACACTTCAATGCAATGGCTAGGGAGAAATGGGTCAAATATTTATGTGGAAACACTTTTACACAGGAAATTCTGGAACCCTCACAATGAAGCCTGGGACAGGGAGCTGCCTGCAGTCCTTCCAACACACTGGCAGGTCAGCCAGGGATTTGTTAAGGCTTGAGTTCTCTACATTCTCCTCCTCGGTTCTGGCGGCTTTGACACCTTAAATGATAGCTTACTAATCCAAACACAACCACAGCATCTCCCAGCACCAGAGCTGGACTCAGGATGGAACTGTAGATCCACTGCCACACCTGCCCGAGAGAACGATGTGGTACTGCACCTCTGTTACATGCTTTTGTATGTGTGACTAACAGCAAACACACTGCTTTGTACGGGCCAGGTCTCTGCCCTTAGCTCAACACGGAAGAAGAAAGGATCTTTGATGTTTTCCTCCGGTTAATCGCCCATGTTTTCTTTGCCTTCCTCCTCCACCCCGCCTGGCTTTGGGAGTTTCCTGCTCCCAGAGGGCTCCAAGTTACCAACACCACACGGCACAAACAGCACAAACAGCTTCCTCAGAATCACAGACCCAGGCAAATGTTCTGCTTCCAAACCCGCTCAGTTTTGGCCAAGGCAATAAACGATTACAACCCTTCCCTAACCACCTTAAACAATTATTCCGTTTAACGACTTGGAAGAAAACAATTTTTAAACCAGCTTAGGTACACTGTAACACATGCCGTAAGCACGACACTGTTTTTAAGGGGGAACGATAACCGAAAATTATGTCTTTTAGAAACATTCCAGTATTTTGCCCGCCCACTCCAGCCTGACACCAAGCCCCAGTGCCCTCAGCCGGGCTGGGGCGCCTCGCCGAGCCCTGCCCGGGGCTGCTGGTCCCTCACTCGCCACCGCAGAGGAGGCCGAAGGAGCAGGGGCCGTTTGCCGGAGGAGCACGGGCGGCACAGCCGGCACCTGCCTCCGGAGCCGCCCCGGGACAGGCAGCGCCGCAGCCCGCCCCGCTCCCCGCTCCCCGTCCCCCGCGGGGCCGGGCAGCCCGGGACGGCGGTGTGCCCGCGGCGGTGCCGGTCGGTCTGAGGGCAGCGGAGAAAAGCGTCCTGCGCACCTGTGAGGGCACCGCCGCAGCTTCCCTCACACCGAGGGCACCGCTGCCCTCACAGCATCTCCCTCCGGCTGCATCCCCCGGCCCGCTCCGCTCGGAAATGCAGGGAAAACCCAGCTCCCGCATCACGGCGTTACCTCACGCAATAGCCAAGGGTTCGTTTTGGGACAATTTTTCTCCTCGACGTAGTGAGGGCTTGGTGGCCACCACAGTGTACACGCTACAGGAATGTGTCCCACATTTCATACCATTAATGGAATCATAGAGCAGTTTAGCTTGAAAATGACATTAAAGATAACTTGCTTGAATATTTATGTCTCAATTCCTTAAATAGCTCAAAGTCAACAAACATTTCTCAAGAAAGGCACTCTGAACTTTAGTCTTACTGAGGTTATCCTGACTGGAATGGTACTTAGCTGCAGGCTAGCTACTTTCACAAAATCCCAGAACAGATTGGGTTGGAAGGGACACAGGACCCTCTACCTACAACTGCCCTGGGATGGGCAGGGACACCTTCCCCTAGAGCAGGATGCTCAGAGCCCCATCCAGCCTGACCTTGAACAGGATCCCTTCCAGGGACGGGGCATCCACAGCTTCTCTGGTCACCTCTGTCAGTGCCTCACCACCCTCATATTAAAGAATTGCTTCCCCTGTATTTAATCTGAACCTCCACCCTTTCAGTTTAAAGTGAATCCCCCTTGTCCTGTCATGCCATGGCCTTGTCAAAAGTCCCTCTCCCGCTCTCCTGGAGAGCCTTTAGGTAGTGGAAGGTGCTCCAAGGTCTCCCTGGAGCCCTCTCCAGACTCAACACCTCCTGCTCTCTCAGCCTGTCTCCATAGCAGAGGTGCTCCAACCCTCTGAACATCTTCATGGTTCTCATCTGGATCTCCAATAGGTCCATTACTACAGAAATTTGATATATTCTTTATTGGTGGTGCTTGGTAATAAATCTGAGCAAGGTCATGATGAAATAAATGTTTTATGTAGGACACAGCATTGCTACATGCCAGCACTTCCTTAGAAAGACAAATTTTTTGTCATTGCCCCTGCTGATTTCATGACATCCAGTGTCACCCCTTCCCATCTGGTAGTTGTGAAAAGTATTTGGAGGCTTTTTTTCCCCCGAGGGTCTTATAGAGATTTCATACACACCTTCTTCCATTTATGCAACCCTCTGCATTCAGCCTGCAGTAGGAAAATCCATCCAAGGAGGACTCACCATGTACACCTTCAGGAGAATTTAAGCCCTATTTGTATTTATTCCCATGTTCTCAGGTATTTAAAGTTTTACTTGGTAGATGTAACTTGAAAATAAACCAGAAGTCTTACAAAGAATTGACTGTATTTTTACTGAGCTCTTCAGAGGGTTTTAAGATGAACTGCATGTATTCATTAAGCCTTTTCCCTAAGGGCTATCCAGATAATACTGTTCATTTTAAAGAGGCAAACTATCTAGCAAAAAAACTCCACCAACCCCAAAAACCACAAATGAGAAATCCTGCAGTATGTCTTTGGAAGAAAATGTCTTGTAATCCATGTAAGAGCTTGAGTATTTATATCTCAACTCCTTAAAAAGCTCCAAGTCCACCAACATTTCTTTTAAAATGGCACTGAGAACCTCAGCCTTATTGAGGTTTGTCCTGAATGGAATGGTGCTGAGCTGCAGCCTAGCAAGTTTGACATTATCAGAGAAAGGTTTGAGTTGGAAGGGACCTTAAAGAAATGGCCCTGTGGCTCTTTGGATGATAACCTGAAGCTATCACACTGACAAATGCCTATTTTTGTACTCTATTATTTTCATATTCATATGGATTTTTAACAAGCTGTTTCTCTAACACAGCTTTTAAGAAGCTCACAAATGTTGGAGGCATGTCAGATTACTTTGAGAATTTAAACTTGGGGAAAACTATTATTTTTAAGGAATATAAGGCAGGTATTATCATTAACATAAATCATAATTTTTCTTTGGTAATTATACTAAGTTTTCTAAGAGGCACTTCTGTGCATTAAAAGATGCAAGGGTACAAAACATTTATGACTGTTACTCTGTTGTACTTTTATATTGACAAAAGAGGTAGGATGAACAAAAGCAAAGTTCCACTGAAATGAGAACTTCCAGTCAACTCGGAGTAGATTCCACTGCAGTAGCAATTGGGAATTTAAAGCTTTTATTACATGAGATACTATTGGGAACTGACCTTGCTTTAATCTATAACACCATCTACCTGCAACTGCCTGCATCTAAGATTCTCAAGGCCTTTGTGATTTTAGCCTCACATTCTTTACAATGAACATTTTTATTCTGAACAGGCAAATTGCTGTAAAAACTGAATGGCAGTGGCAAAAGCACAGCTCCAAAATCCTACCCTCTCTTCGGCAACTATTTCAAGGGCCACATCCCTTGTATTAGTGCCACATTATGTAAACTTTTCAGAAGCAAATGTTACAAAATGCTTATTTGTGGAGGCTGCTGTGTAGTGATAGGTGCATGTCAGACAACACCACCCGGCCCTGCAAGACCCTTCCAAGGGATAAAAAATCCTGCAGAGACCATTTTAAGTCTGGAAATAACTTTCCCACAGAAGTACCAAGGAAATATTTTTAAATTCAATTGCTAATTGAGCGCTAGATTATTTTATTAGTTTTTAGACTTACCAACAAACCTGTCTGAAACTCCAGAACTCCATTTAATTCTATTCAGATGAAGAGTGACATGCCACTGAAGATCTCTTTGGGAAAGAGAGATAAATCCACACAACCTGTCTCAGTGTCAAATTTTCACTCTGTACATCCATACAATCCAAAACAGCAGGTAATGGAAAACAGAGAAGCCATTGTTATTAACAGGTAGTTTACTTAATTGCATAGATGTTGTATATAAAGCAACTGAGATATGCTGAAGCAATAAATGTTCTTAAACTCAACCAGTTTGGATTTTTACAAATAAATATTATTTAAAAATTTCAAAGTTAAAATCCAATACCAACAATTAAATGTTAGTTTTCAGATCTGTCTTCAATTCCTTACCTCTCTATGAATTCTTGCTTGCAACCACATTTGTAACCATTTCCTGGCTGGTTGCAAGTGCAAGGTAGGTGCATTCACCACCTGTAGCTCAGCTGAGACTCATAAAATGTTTCACAGTTGTGCTTCCAATACTTGTACCATTTTTACATCCTGCCACCTGTTCCTGCTCAAACTAGTTGCCCATCATGGTAATCAAGAGGTTGTCATGTAATCCTTGGCATGCCCCTTCTGCCCATGATTTACTGGTAAGATCCTTGTGATTATTCAGGTGGGAGGTATGAAGAGCTTTTATTCTTGTAGACCAATGCTTTAAAGTGTTCCTTTCTCTATTTGACCCACCTGTGATTTTAATTTAAAAAGTAAAACTCAGATGTTTGCTGCACTCCATTCAAATGTATGTAAAAAAAGTCTAAAGAACATTGAAACCCTAAGCAATGTAGCTCCTGGAAACCAACAGATTTTAACCATGTATTAGCAGTGTAGGTAAAGGGGTTGACAAATCCTTCTGTTCTTTGAAATAAAGACATCCATCAAAAAGTATGCTAGAGGTTAATGGACCTTTACAAAGGTCCATACAGGATTTGTAAATCTTCAGGGATTACATTTCTTAGCCTACTGCTACCCTTTGTGGTAGATGTAGTGGAAGTAGTTCCTTCCAGCTGAAGCAACTCAGCTGGTGCACTTGTTTGAAAAACAACTGCAAAGATTAGTAACAACTTCACTACTGGATTAAAGAATAACAAATGTATCAATGAAGTCTAACCAAAGCAATTTTCTCAGTTAGCCCTTTATTAAAGAATCAAAACCCAAGTTAAATTTAAAAATATAAAGAATTTAACCTATGTTAAAACCTGAAAAAACAATAGTACTGCAAATATAGAAGGATAACCTTATCCCATCCAAAATGTAAGAAAGGAAAACAGGGGTTTAAACAAAATTAAAATCCAGAAGCTGACATCAGGTGAGTAAAATCCACAGATAAGGTAGAAGTGTG